GCCATTGTACATTTCTTGCCTTTGCCCATGTGCTTCACTCCAACCAGCATTTGTTTACCATTTATGTGATTCTGTAGGCTCACAAGACTAACAGAAACACAAACCCTAACCCTATAGCCACCTACAGTCGAACACACTTCACTTAATAATTGGATTTCCTAACAGACATGTAAACTAGGATAAAGGCTCCCTCTCTGGTTAAAGCTACAATGGGAAATCTGCTAAACAAGTTAGCTTAGATGTTCTACTTTTCATTCCTCTTAACAACGTTCCATCACAGTACACCTTTAAATATATTGTAAAAGAAAAAAAGAAGTGGTTCTCTCACATTTATCTAAAAACCTCAGCCAATAACACGGCTTGGTTCAAAACCAACCACCGGACCATCTGGTTGTCAGTCTCACCAAACCACTGCAGTTCCGCACTTCCCTGGGTCCTCCACTCATCACACACTCACGTATTTAACAGCAGAACACCGCTGGTGTGAGAGGTACTCAATAATATCAGAGAAGGAGAAACAGCCGGCTGCTACCACTTCAGCTTTAGGACAAACTAGAATCCCAAAAAGAAAAACACAATTTGAAGTCATGGACAACAAAAGACAGTTGGACAAAGAAAACAGCGACTGGTGTTTGGCGCACTCTAGTTTTCTCTGGAAGTGGGGGTTTCTGGTTCTGTATTTTTATGTTTTTGCCAATTTTCCACCGCAGCTTTAAGGTATTAGCTTAAACATGGCCATAGCTTGACTTAGATGTACACAGATAGGTCAAAACTCCCAGAACCCACTCCAAAACTCCTCTGACTCGCTTTTCCCTCTTTGCTGGTTCATGATACACACCTGCTGCTCTACCAGATAACAGGACAGGCTGCGCTCCCAGACAACAGGTCCATCATCTAAATGTTTCCCAACAAGAACAGAACCAAGCTCTAAACAGAACATGTGGAGGAAAAAAAAAACCCTCAAAGAAACAAAACAGAACATTTTTTTCTTGACACTAGGCAGCCTGGCTCTGGCTTCACTTACTGTTCAACTGCTCCAAGGCACAAACGCATGACTCGTTCACAAAGAGGGGTGTGTGCAGAGGGGGGGAGGGACGATGGGACGTTCTCAGTGACTGGATAAGGTTTTTGCAAATTAGTACATTTTAGGTGTGATTACAATTATTTTCTTTTTTGACAAAACAAAATTTAATGGTTCACTTCGGTTTGTGAAGAGCATTTCTAGCAAATGGCTAAAATCTTCCAGATAACCACTTTAAATCCTACCTTTAAAGAGACAATGTGTAATTGATTCCATTCATCCCTGGAAAGATCCATCAGAATGTTGTTGCAAAAAAATTAAATGATGCAGTTGTTGAAAAATATTGTAACATAAAACCATAAAAATTGGGTCTAAAATACCTGGTAGTGGGTCTAAGTCTCCGGGCGACGCCATGTTTCCTTCTACAGGAGCCTGTGAGGACAAAATGCATTCTCTGATTTGTAACAAGCAGTTACAAAACTTTCTCCATTCATTTTAAAATGAAAAACATAATAAAAGTCAGACTTTTTTTCACACAGTTGATGTTTGGAACCACCTTGGTGAAAGAAATGCGGCTTTATTTCACAGCTTTGGGATTTGACACCTGGATTAAATCATGAAGTGAAGCAGAAAAACTAGTTAAAACCTCGTTGTTTAGTTTTTTCCTACATGAAGTTGGAGGGGACGTGCTTCACTCATCCGGTCTCCGTTGGTCTCTCTGGGTGCCTGAAATAAGATTGCTGATATTATCTATCTTCAGAAGAATTTGTATTAAAATAGAAATGGAGCAGGCTCCATCATCGTGTGGTGTTTTCTGAGCAGAGACCAGTACAGGGAGACAAAGAAAAGCCACAGCAGCAGCTTCACCCAAGAGGATGCTCTCAGCTCCTGCTTCTCTGGAGTCACTGCAGCTCTGAAACTTTAACTCCGCCTGCAGGAAGCCGGCCTCGTTTGCCTCACATCCTTTCATTAATGAACGCAGTTGGATGCTGTGTGATGAAAGTAGACTGACAGAGAAATGGAGAAGTGAAGCTGAGAACAACAACCGATCGGGTTTTCCTTCTTTTCTCTTTCCTCCTCACAGTTCATTCAGCAAACATGAATAATGCACAAGACTGGCTTTTATTAATATTCAGGCATTCGGGACAACTTATTAACAGGATCTGTTTTTTGACAAGAACGGAACTTAATTAAAAATGTGTTTATTATTTGTAGGATGAAAAAAACACGACAGAGACGGCTTTGAAATGCAAATCTGCAGCGAGGCGCCTCTGTGAAACCAGATAAGAACTTCTGAGGCTGCAGCTATAAAAGCTGTTTCTGTCTTTTCTGCTAAACCCCTTCTTTTCTCCGAGTGGCCCAGTTTTTACCTTTTTGCATGACATCATAATAACTTGAGTTTTTTTTTTTCCTTTTAGAGGTTTTTGTCTACAAAGTTCCCATTTGTAAGTGTTTGGAAGACAAAGAGATCCAAGCTGGTCTCTGATTGCTGGAGCCTGACCCTTGACCCCAAACCCCTCCAGCTAATCTCATTTGTTCCAACAAAGAGAAGCAGTATCAGAGTCTGTTTGCTTCATGAGCATCAGTTCTGTGCAGAACATCAGGATCACTTTAGGATCCGGTGCTGTTAAACAGCAGAACAACATTCCCGACACCAAAGCTGTTCCTTCTACGGTTGGTTTAGGTCTGAACTTTCAAACAGATTTTTGTTTTGCATCAGCGTGCAAAACTTCTGTTTGATCAGAAGTTCTGTAACTGTGAGGAAAAGCTAGCCGAGTTAAGGATGACCTGATTTCCAACAGCTACAGAGCTGTTTACTGTATATTTTAGGAAACATTTTCCCTTTTAAATCATTTATTCATTTAGAAACGGCAACAAAATTAGACAGAAGCAAAAGTCTGTACCAGTTCCCCTGAAAAAACTTCATTCCTTTAGCCAAATATCAGTTTGTAATGTTTTGTTTCAAGCTGAAAAAGTTTCACTTTTTTTTTTTTTTTGCCTTCCCTCTTGCTCTCTAACATTTTTACTAACGGGTTTATTTGGATCCTATTTTGAAGGGTAGAAATGAAAAACACTTTGAATACAATTTTAAAGAGCAGGTTCCCCGAGAGACCATTTTTAAGTTATTATTTTAGAAAATAATCAGTCACTCTGAGTGTTTCATGCAGGCTGAACATGAAAATAGTCTCCTACACCTACCTCCTGCACTGGCTTCTGAAAAAAACTCTAGAATTAGAAAATCCTGACAGATCTACGTCACTCTGTCACTTAACATTCATGGACTCACCCACCTTGCCTCACGACGGGGAAGGCTGTTGTTGGTTTAGTCCAGGAAACAGCAGAGAACGTCTTGGCTAGTTGAAGCTAACCGTTAGCATTAGCAACTCCACCACACAGCAGAACTCCTCCAGAATTGTTTTATATGTGGAGATAAACATCAATGTCGCAGACAGGGTATCTGTAGGTTTAAGGGAGCCAAATTTAAGACTTTTTAAGACATTTTGTAAGGCCACTTTGACCAAATTTAAGCCATTTTTAAAATTAAATTTAAGCTATAATTTCCAGCTATTGCCTGGAACCGGTGCTAGCTACGTTGCGAACGTAGGATTAGCCATCCAGTTACCATTAAACTTGCACTTCCCCACAGCGCAAGCTCCCACTAGCTTAACCAGCTAATGTGCTCATCTAAAAATAGCCCCCTTTCACAACCAACTGAATGTGTACGGTTCCGCTTACGCCAACATCGTGCACAAAAATGCTGACGACCAACTAGAACTTCAGGAACATTTTATAGAAATAAAAGAATCTTGTTTGTTGGGTCTTTGGTAATTTAAGACCTTTGAAAGCTGTCTTTAAGGATTATTTGTCATTTTTAAGGATTTTTAAGACCGTATATTTGGAAAAGCTAATTTAAGACTTTTTAAGGACCCGCGGATACCCTGGGCAGAGCAAACAGAGTCAGTGGTAGAGTCGTGTTGCTGTTAGCCAATGAGAGGAGAGATGTCCACATATCAGGAGATAAGACTCCAGATTCTGTCGTCTGAAGCTCACCTCTGGTCTGTCTCACTTCTAGTTCCAGAAAACAGCAGAGTAGAAGCTAACATTAGCAGCTCCACCACACAGCAGAACTCCTCCAGGCTTGTGTTATTTGTGGATGTTGGTCAATCAGAGGAGAGATGTCCACATATCAGGAAATAAGATTCCAGATTCTGTCGTCTGCTACCTTCTCCTCCAGCTGAAGTCTGTCCTCAAATAGGCGCACCGGGGCTTTTTTTCCCCCAGAGTACGGCTTACAAGGCTTAATTCCTACTAGAGACCAAAGCAAATGAGTTAAAATATGAGTTAAGTTGACCTTTAAATAATATTTTTCTGACCCACATCTTGAAATGTCTGGACAATCTGCTCTACAACAGCCGTCCGCCGATTTCAGCGCAGAACGTTTCATCATTAGAGCAACATTTGGCTACGTTAGAATGACTTTGTGGGAAACTTGCAGATCATCACCTTTGACCTCTACAGCTCATTTCCATATCAGAAGGAAATCTTTAGTCCTAACCAGCATCAGTGTTCTGAATTTAACTTCCTGTAGGTTAACTTATATATGTTTCAGTGATAAATTACCAAAGTTTCTGCTGATCTACGGTTTGATAAATATATTTTCTAGGCTCGGCCACGGAGCGGAGGGTCTCTGGGTGCATTATCTCTGGGATGGGACGAGCTTCTGCTCCAGGTGGAGTTTGTGAATCCTCAGGGAGGAGCCCAAAGTGGAGCTGCTGCTCTTCCACATCAAAAAGAGCCAATTCAGTTTGTTCTGGCATCTGGATCTTCACCCAAACAGAAGTTCTGCTTTTGTAGAAGCTCTAGTCACCGTGCACAGCTGTAGAGATGGAATGCAGCCTTTCTTTGCACATTTATGGTAAAACAAGTTAAAATCTTTGCATTTATTCAAGAATTCAATAAAACCAGCAGACAATGCAGATCAGAGTCTGGCTTTCCTCTTCTGTAAAGTTTATTTCCATCAGAGAGAATGAAGAAACAGGCAGCACTGATGTCACATTTACAATCTGATCACAAAACAAACACATGAAGCAAAAAAAGGATTATTGGCATTTGTTCTTTTTGACAAACTGTGAGAATCTTCGTTTTTGGGGCATAGTGTCCGTTTGATTTAACGACTGAAAACTAAGAAGCCATTTTGCTGGTGATTACGTTTGTTTAAGAGGAAAAAGTCCGCGTTAAAGTAAAAACAACTCAGTGCCTGCTGTTCGACAAGGGCACGGCAAGTTTTTGAGGAAATAAAAAAATATCCCGCAAGAGGACACCTGATGAGTTTTGTGCTTCCTGACAGAATCAGGCTCGTAACACCAGGGACACCACGCCCCAAAACATCCCATAATCCTCACAGTTACAGGACACAAACATCGGGCAGCTTTCCACAACACAGAATGTCGGCAGCGGTACATTCATGCTTCACGACTGAGTCAATGGCATGAGGCTGACGGTGATCTACAGCCAGTTAAAGCACAGGAAATGGTCGTCACATAGTGACAGGATAAATGAAGCCACACCCACACGGATGTGGGCTCCAGCGGCTAACGCTACCTTAGCTAGCCTTGCACGTGAGCTTCTCAGCAAATGGAATGTCAGGAAGAGGGAGGGCGGCGTCAAGCACCAGCCACGGAATAATCACCGCTCAGTCGGACGAGTGCCTGTGCTCCCAAAGACAGAGGAATGCTTTCAAAATGGCGCCGATTAATAAAGGTTGTGCTCTGGTCTGACGCCATCACGTCTCACGTGGGAGGAAGGATTGTCAGGAAGAGAGGCTGATAACACTACCGTGCAATCGGAGCTGAAAACTGCTTCTAGCTGCTTAAATACTGACACTCTGCAGACTTCAGGTCACCTCTGTGCATAAATCATCAGCACCAGTGTGACAACTGAATCTCCCAAATGGGAGTCTGCTGCAGGACGGTTTGATTCAAGCACCCTATGAACTCTAGTAAACTAGAACACTTTGTGATGCAGAAGACGAGTTAGGTCTCATTTCACAGTTTGAGGTTGACAGAGACGTCTAAAAGCACGCTGTCAAAAGCACGGTCCAGCATTTAGGACTCATGAATTCTCAGGAAATTAAACAAAAAAGCTAATGTTTAAAGGTTTTGGAAGCAGTTCTAGCTGCTGTGCCTAAATAAAAAGTAAATTTCCCACATATAAAGTCAGGGGAGCGCTTTTGCATTTCAACACTGCAGCTGTCAAATGTTTGCTGCAAGTTTGAAGGTTTCTTCCAGGTGCAGCAGTGCGTGGGCCGAGCGTCTGAGGGAGAGCAGTGTGACGTGAAGCCGCGGCGCTGCTCCAGTGGCCGGCGCTTGGCACAAAGGTGTTTCATTCACTGCGTGATGACACCAAAAGGTGGTGATAGATGGCAGGTGGAACACACACAACAGATGTACGAGGCGCGGGTGACGTGAAGCAGAGCGGGGTGGATGAGAGACGAGGACGCGGGGGACGCGTTAACGATGGCTGATGATGGATAGACGGTGGGCTGCTGGGCGTGACAGCCGCCTCTTCCAAGGAGCATACGCCCCACGCCTCCTCAGCCTCTGCGAGTCTTTCTGTGTTTAGTTTGGCAGCAGAGGGGGTGTTTCCTGGTTGCAGCACAGCTTCACGGGGATGAGCTGAAGGTTTGAAACGAGACACGATGCATGCAAAATGGGGTGTTGTTACATTACAAACATAGCGTGTAAAGGCCGAGAGCAACACGGATACATCCAGCTCTCCTCCGCTTCACCTCCTCTCCCCATCTAAAACCCAAAATCAAAAACGATACGGTCTTCAAAGATGGCGATTAGCAGCATGATGCCGAACCCAGTCAGCATGCCCACGTTCTGCAGGATAAAGTGTCCAAGATGGCAGCGCTTGTGGTCCTCGCTGTCCCCGTGGAGCATCTCCGGCAGCTGTGGGACACACAGCATCAGAATAAGAACAAAGGGGGCTGAGACGGTTGAAGTAAAGCTCGAGACTCACCATGTCCACCAGAGCCACATAAAGGAACATGCCCGCCGTGATGGCGAAGATCCAGTTGGTGACATTGTGGGTGTACTGGCCCACAGCTGTGCCAATTATCATGCCAACATAAGCCATGAGGGCAGACAGCAGATTGTAGACAATGGCCTGCTTCACACTCATCCCGGCTTTTAGCAGCACTGCAAAGTCACCTGTCAAGGGAAAAACCCTCATTTAAACACAATTACTGTCACTCACTCACTCACTCACTCACTCACTCACACACTCACTCACTCACTCACTCACTCACTCACTCACTCACTCACTCACTCACTCACTCACTCACTCACACACTCACTCACTCACTCACTCACTCACTCACTCACTCACTCACTCACTCACTCACTCACTCACTCACAAAAATGTTGTATTAATAAGAACAACTTTTTTAACGACTAAATGAAGGGGGGACAAATCAGAATACAGATTTCCACCAGTCCTACCAAGCTACGGAGAGCCTGCAGGGCTATAATCAGGTGTGTGATTAAACAATCACAGCACACAGCTGGTGATGATCATAATTCTCATGTGTGGGTGGAAGCAGTCGTCCTGTAGAGCAGAAGCAGCTGTGTAGGAGAGTGAAGACTGGGTGGAGAGCAGCTACCAAGGTGAGTTCTTACCACAGGTTACAGTGAGACTGAGAAAACGCCACGCACAGCTGAACAACACCGACGAGGTCTATTCTCGGAAGATTTCAAAGCAGATGGTGAAACAAAGTTTTGTTTAGGTGATTTTGAAGACAAACAAAGAAACACTGAGAATCAGAGGAAAGACGCCATGTTACTGAACGCTTGTGAGAATTTTGTCTACACGAATCGCACGTTCTCGGGTTGGAGCAGCTGAACAGGAAGTGAAGCCAGAGGCGCCACATCGATATTAGCTAGCGGACTGAACATGGTTACTGAGCAGAGGGGATTTCCAGAGTAAAGACGCCAGTCTTCACTGCCAGATCTCTGATCTAGTTCCCAGTCTAGTTCTCTCTCCATCCGGCGAACTCTGGACCAGCACCGGTTTACGGGGAGTCCGTCAGACGCCTGGGGGCTCGGCGGATGTTACGGAAGCGTGTTACGTTAGGGATTATGACAGAAAGGGTGCAACAAAGGGTCGAGAAGGTAAGACAAGGTTGTTTATTGTGTTATGTTATTCACCTGTATCCTGGGGGCGTGGCTTAGGGGGTGGGGGTTAAAGAAAGGCGGTTGGACCTTTGAAAAGGGTTTTTTTCAAACAGCTTTTTCCAGAATCGTCTACTCCACCTTCATCCCAGAAGCGGTGGTGTGGCCCACACGATCCTGATCTGGTCCAAGGATGCCCAATCCTGGTCCTGGGGGGTCGCTCTCACACTTGTTTTAGTTATTTTCCTGCTTCAACTCACCTGATTTCAGTCTGTAGGTGATTAACAGGCTTCTGCAGAACAGGCGATTCAACCACTGAATCAGGTGTTAGAGCAGAGAAACAACTAAAACATGCTGGATACCGGCCCCCCGGGACCAGGATTGGGCATCCCTGATCTAGTAGATCAGAAATATTCTAAAAGTGAATCTAGAAGCCTTGATTTAATTAAGATTTATCTTCATTCTCTCACCTTCTAAGCTCTACGCACTCGTGTCACCAGCGTCGTTTAAACAAGCTCCTTCCACGCTGCAGCCTCCTCTGCTGGCCTCCAAGTAGGAGAAACTCAGAGCTTCACTGTCTAAGAAAATGCATCTTTAACTGTGCTCATGATCACACACGCACGCTGCAGTCTCTCTACCCTCTTCAATCATCGCCGGGCCAAACGCGAGGAGCGGTCCAAGTCTCCACGGAAACGCCCTGGATTCGGAGGAAGACATGAATCTGGAGAAGGGGGGCGGCCTACATTTCCGGCGCCGTGTAACCAGCGGCCTCTTTTCCTCGCTAATTAACACAATGAATGCATTACCACACTCCGCTCTCGTGCATCAATCAGACGGAGAAAAGTGGGGGCGAGTCCGCATGCACCTCCCTTCTCTGGCTGTCCTCCCCTCTTCCACTCCTGCCTCCTCAGCTAAATCCGTCACACACTCAGACACGCCCGCCGCCACCTCATCTACCACAATTAACACACCCATCACTGCTAATTAGCTTCACTCTGGGTGGCTGAAGAACACTTGTAATCATCATCTTTGTTTCCACCTAGACGCCAGTCGCGGCAGACGGCTTTTGTGCTCTGGAGGAGCTGAGAAGGTTCACTTGACAAACGGCTGGGTTTTGTCTGAGGAGAGGCACGGCAGCAGAATAAAACGGAAATTAGGCGCGGAACCAGCGGGTGCGTCTTCATGCTCGCTCTGGGTCGGGACTCGAGTACAACTGCAGACACATGTTGAGCACTTATATCAGCAGCATCCTTCCATCCATCCATCCATCCATCCATCCATCCATCCATCCATCCATCCATCCATCCATCCATCCATCCATCCATCCATCCATCCATCCATCCATCCATCCATCCATCCATCCATCCATCCATCCATCCATCCATCCATCCATCCATCCATCCATCCATCCATCCATCCATCCATCCATCCATCCATCCATCCATCCATCCATCCATCCATCGTCTGAACCTGCTTGTCTATGTAGGGTCGCGGGGGGCTGGTGCCTATCTCCAGCGGTCAACGGGCAATCAGGCGGGGTACACCCTGGACAGAGAGCCAGTCCATCGCAGGGCAACACAGAGACACACAGGACAATCATGCACACACACACACACACACACACACACACACCTAAGGACAATCTAGACAGACCAATTAACCTGACAGTCATGTTTTTGGACTGTGGGAGGAAGCCGGAGAGAACCCACGCATGCACAGGGAGAACATGCAAACTCCATGCAGAAAGATCCCAGGCCGGGAATCGAACCCAGGACCTTCTCGCTGCAAGGCAACAGCTCTAAGCACTGCACCACCGCGCAGCCTGCTATCCGCAGCAAATGTTTAAAAAGTAAAACACGTAAGAGGACATGTTGATGAAGAGGTAACAGCAAACTCAAGGCTAAAGATCCAAAAAGCAGCGAGGCAGAGTAAATTAAAGAGCTCTGGTGCACTGGCGTGTCCTGCAGGAGGACAGGCTAAATGCAAATGAGAGCAGCTGCATCGTCTTCCAGTTGGACTGTAAGGGACAGGATGTGCCAGGCGTGATCCATCATCCTCGCTGACAGATAGTGACGGGTCATCTGAGCGCCGTCTGACAGAAGCCAATAATTAGAGGAAAAAGTGTGTTTTTCTGGCGTGACGACAGCGGTGATGATTATTGACTCTTTTGGAGATATTTTACCCTCTAAGTTTCAGGGGCGGATGGGTTGAGACCGATGAAGGTTCAGGTGAAGTGCAGCTTTTCTGCACCGGGCTCTGATTACCTTTACAAGAGCAAACAGCAAAGCTCTCAGCTTCCTTTCACTCGTTCAAAATAAAAAGTTTAGACTTCGATGAGTGAATCGGCCGCTTTGAGCTTTTTCTTACACTCCTTCTGCACTTACCGAGTTCATGAGGTAATTCGTGGCAGAAAACAGCCACTGAGGTACTGATGCCGCCCGTCAGATTAGCACTAAACGCAGCACCTGAGAGAGAGAGAGAGAGAGAGAGTTTGATGTGACGACTGATCCCACTCCTAAATCCCTTGTTCCCTTGTCACGATGAGTGAAGTCTTACAGATTCTCACAAAAAAACCTAAAATCTTTTTAAAGACCAAGTTCACTTGTTTTTGACACACTCGCGGTGATCTCTAGTAAAAAATGAATGCCTTGTGACCCGATCTCTGTGGGAAAAAGCTCTGGCGCTCCTGTTTCAGGAACTAGAAGTGAGCCAGAGGAGAGTGGAGCAAAGACGGCAGGGTTTGGAGTCTTATTTCCTGACATTTGGACACCTGGCTTCTGATTGGCTAATAGCAACACAACTCTACCTCTGCAACGTTGATGTTTCACCTCCACAAATAACACAAGCCCGGAGGAGTTCTGCTGTGCGGTGGAGTTGCTAATGCTAACAGTTTGCTTCTACTAGAACAGGAGGGGTGACATTACATCCCATTTTACATAAAAACACTTGAAAAGATACACTTGTGGGTTATATTCCATCCACTCACCACCTAACCCTAAAAAAATATCAAAATATTCAACTTTTTTGCATTTTCTTCATGCAAATTTAAAGAGCAAGTCACCCCCAAATCAACTTATTTTTCTGATAAACTATATAAACGTGTGTCTAATCGTGCTGCAGACACGTGAAGTCAACAGTTTTGCACTTTAGTGCATTTTAGTTCAAATTTAAATTTTCTGCCTGAAACTGTCAGTATTGTCCCGTTGTCAGGTAAAAACTCTGCACTGCAGTTGAATTTAAATCTGCCATCGCTATTGGCTAAGAGGTACCCTAGGACGTTAGCTGGTACCATATGATGTCACAATGTCGTTGTGAGTCTGTGCGTGTGTGTGTATTTGTTAGTGGCTCCGCCCTCTCGGTCTGCTAAGCAACAGCATTTGTTGCATTTTTCAAACAGGAAGTGTGAGTGGAGTTAGACTCTGGTAGGGGGTGACTTGCTCTTTAAGGATTTACACCAGATGATAAAACGCTCGTAACGGTTTCTGGGGAAGCTCCATTCAGATTCATGTATTTAGTTTCTTTGTTTCCCAAAGCAGTGGGAAGTAACATGTATTAGATACCATGCCTGTTTGTGTTCTCAACCCCATCAACAACTTAAAAACCTGTAAACTCACTTTTTTTCTAGGTGATTTTAAAATATTTAACAGGAAGGAGGAAAGTGTTGAGTATATAAAACAGTAATTAACCCTTTAAATCCCATCAATTCAACAAATGAAAACTGCTACATGAACCACGGGAGTGGTGGTTTTTGCTCTGTTGGCTCCAGATGGGGTTACCTATGGCGAGTCCATCGCTGAAGTTATGCATGCCATCTCCCATGATGACCATCCAGGCGATGCTGGCTATCCCGGCATCCTTCATCTCCTGGTCCGAATGGCAGTTTCCTCCATGAGAGTGTCCGTGGCCGTGCGAGTGTCTGTGCTTCTTGGTTTTGTGGCCGTTCTCCTTAGCGGGGGACTGTTGGGGGTTTGAGAGCGCCAGCGGCGTCTTATTGGTGGGAGAGTCTGGCGTCTGGAGCTCCGTGAGCTGCGTGTCGTTGTGGCCGCTGTCACAGGAGACCGCTGAGCTTTCTGGGTCTGAATCAGAAAGATGCTGTTACGATGACAGAGCCACGGAGCTGCTCTAAACACCTGAACGCCTTCTTACCTTCGCCGAGGGGCTTCAGGTTGAGCCACTCTGCATCAGAGCGCCGATTTAACGTGTGATCTGACAGCTTCCTGCCAATCTTACCCACTTCACTCACCTTCTTCCCGCCCTGCGAGCATCAAAACAATTTCATGTTCTATTTGCAGATGCTCATTTCATGTCAGAGACCTCAAACAGTCTGAAGAAAAACTAAACTGGAAGAAAACAACAAAGTCTAACGTCTATAGGAGTGTTTGATGGAAGCCTGTGGTTTACTTTTTTGTTTCTGCTCACCCTCTGGTCTTTGTAGTGCTTAAACATGCCGATACAGTGTTCGATGATGAAGAGGAGGTAGATGCCAGCCAATGCGGTGAGCCCCTTCCACACTCCATCAAAGGCTGTCACCAGATCAGTGTTATTGTTTGCCTCGTGCTGGCTGTGGTCGTGCTGTCCTTGAGACTGCAGAAAACGGGGAACAAAGGATGACTGAGAGGCTGATAAAAATAGAGCCCAACAGAATCGGAGTCTTCAGTCACCATTTCAACCTTCAGAATGACACCAGTGACCCGACTGCACAGTTTGAATAATTATCTAGTCAAAAATGTTTAAAACTCAGAGTCGTGCAGCTCCAACTCATTCAAATCTGGATTTGTAGCATGTTTATTATTAAAATTGTTTATTTTATAAGCAGAATGCATCGTTTTCATGTCTGGTTTTATTAATCAATGAATGATTAATAATTTTAATGCTTTTTGTAATGTGTAATCATGTCTCTTAACTTTCAATTTCGATCCAAATGTCATAAAATTCAAGTTTTTCTCAAATATTATTACAATTTTTTAGTCACATTCTGCTCTTAATGATGTTTCTTCTGAATGCTAAAATCACACAAGTCTCTTTTAAAGTGTAAGCATGCGTAAAGATGGCAGAACGAGGGAAAGACACAGTGGAATGGTGTCAAAAAATCCAAAAATAATCCACAAAACGCAGTCATCATTACCCTCAACTGTAAAAAATCAAGCCCTTTTCACTCACTGACGACTAAAGACGTCATTTGCATGTTTTTACTGTGTGGGCATCGGAACGAGCCCCTGCGCTGAGAGAACAAACATCTCAGCTCTGAAGCCGATCTTCATCCGCATACGTCACATGCTCAGGAAGCAGAGCATCCGTGTGTTAGGAGATTGTTTTGGGCCTTTCCTGTAAAAAAAGTGAGGCGTGAACCGGAAAAGCTTCTGTCGATCACAATTCAACAACGGATTATGAAAGAACGGATAACGCTCGAAACACGCGGATTCTTCCTGATGTAAGAGGTGAGTCTCCGCTTTATTTTGGTTGCTTTGCGTTGACATTATCCTAGCGCGCAACATTCTGTGGCTCTTAAAAAACCAGTAAAAATGGTGAGAAAGGCTGGCAGCGAAGGCCGTTAGCGATCAGGAACCTGCTGGCAGTGAATGAGTTAAGTAGTTCTCAAGGTTTTCCAGCACCTGTTACTGGTGCTAATAAATGTCAGTGAAGCCTATGCGTATAAATACATGTAGCTTTGCCATTACTTTTCTTCAAATTATTCTTTTAAGTGTTGGTGCTGCTGTAACAAGTGCATGTCCCCACTGTGGGATGAATAAAGCCTCTTCTATTCTATTCTACTCTACAACAGCGTAGATGTAAAGCAACAATACATCTATGTTTAAGATCTATATTTGTATATAATATCTAATTTCCTATAAAAATATGTGCCACAGCCAACTTCAGTTTCGCTCTCTAGCACTGCAAACTGAAAACACAACATTAAAATTCAAGCACCGATAAGAACCCTGAGTTATCCTGAAAAACAGTTTCACATTTGCCAACATCCTGCTTGGACATCTGGGTTTCTGTAGCAACTCTTGAAGCAACACGGCCCGCCCATGTTTCTTCATGTGACTGATGAATCAACTAGAAAATTAATTCCAGCTAGCCGGCTTCTGAACACGTCTTCAGCTTATGCTTTAACACTAAAAGGCTTAAGCTGTCTACATTGAACTGAGCGCTCCAGCCCCTTCCATTTTTTAAGTACCGTACTATTGATCCCGCCTGTGAGCACCAGCGCTCAAACGGATGCAGCGCAGAGTGCCTCTTGTTTATCAAGCTATTTGTTTCATATGTCTCCAATCCTAAAACAGCCCAAACACTTTAAGCTAGTCTAGTCTCATACTGAACTTGAATCATTAAGCAAAACAACTCGGTCATCCTTAAAATGTGAACTCTGGTAATGTTTTCCACCACCCCGACTAATCCTGCTGAATAATCTAGAACGGTTTATCACAATATTACTTTTTGTGACTCACTAGGAAGCCAGAAGGACCCAAACAAGCGGCCCCGGAATGAAAACAACACAACCCTGTTGGATTTCTGCTCTTGCTCAGTGTGTTGTACTCACGTGAGGCAGCAGGTGAAGAAGCGCGTCACCACTGAGCGTGCCCACTGCCAGCGCCACCAGGAAGGTGAGCAGGAACTTGAAGCAGGATTGTTTGAGGATTGGCACCAGAACCACGCCAAGCAGAGACAGCAGGCTGATGACGGTGATGGAAACAAAGCCCCACGTCCAGACCCACACTGAGAACAAGAGTCAGGAAAAGAATGGTTATTTCTCCAGATCTTTTAAAACCTTGGTGTGCTTCTCTCAGGAGGAAAACATTAACAAGCACCTAAAGCAAGAGGCGTGTAGCAATTAAAACAACAAGTAGCAGAACTGTGTACGTAATGGGGCAAACACAAAAACACAGATGCTCAGCTGGGCACTGAAATACCCCAGGGTGTGCGGATCTGACTCCCAGAGGGAGAATTTACTTGACTGGGACAACAAACGGTCCCCTCGTGTTCTCATGTGAAAGCAATTTGAGGCCAGCGAGTTCTCCTTAGACAACCTGAAGGATCTATCCGGGATATGAGGAGTCACAACGTCACCGCCGCTGTCTGGAGCCAGATCATCGGTGACCTTATAGATGTAGAAAGGATTCAGAGTAGAACCCAGCAGAGTGAAGACGTAATAACTGGGGCGATATGAGCGCGAGACTCGGCAGCTAGCAGGGGATGACTGGTTGGACTATAAGACACAGAAAGAGAAAGGCAGGCCGGTGACGCTGTGAAGGAGCAAATGTCCATTTCTTTATTTCTGACTCTGACACAGCCTAGGAATGTAGACTAATGTAGCAGAAGTCAAATGTTTTTCTGTGCTGGTTGGTCTAGCCACGCTTCATGTAGCCTCAGCAGGTCTATCGTCGGCTCGACTGATGGCGCTTACACGTCAGCGTCAGGTACGGACCTGAATTTGGTTTCACACATGGGTCAGACATGTGTTCTTCTTACCGAGGTGACTCTTTTTCCCAGACCTTCTCCCGAGCAGTGCGACTGGGACCAAGGTGACACTACGGACTAATTGGTCAGCTGAAATGAGTAGCATCAGCCTGCGGGGGTTTTCCGCATGCGTGACTCATTTTCATTCTGGATGTTGTTGAGTAAACTTGTCACGGAGTTGCCGCTCAGTGGGAACGGGACAAGAGAGAGAGCTGTGCTTGTTCAGAGTCTCCAAAAGCAACACAGCTCATGCCCGCCTTTCCCGTGCGTATTAAATACCGCCCACAGGCTCAGGATTTCCACATTTCTTAGAACGGGCCAATCACAGTGCTGTATCTTTGTAGAGAGATGTTGAGCGGCTTTAGTGTCACTACAGCAGAGCTGTGAGAGCTAAACAGCACAGATGGCATCAGCTCAAAAATGGATCTGGCATCAACTTTTGAGAATTTAGCATGAATGAGTGTTTAATTTGAACCTACATAGTTCCAGCTAATAAAACAACAATAAATAAATAGTGTGTCCATGTTCATAAAGAGCAGGACTGGGCTTTATGGAGACATGCAGATGGAGGTACTTCATCTTCCACTTCTTTCATGGTGTATGGCGGACTGCCCCCGCTGACTTCTGTCACAATCGATGCGTCACATTGTTTGCTGATTGGTTCTAATGCTGTCCATTTATGTGTAGATCTTTAACCGAGCTCGGTCTATGGGGCTGGCCAGACTGCAAATTTACATATACACGATCTGTCGTGGTGAAGAGAGAGCTGAGCCGGAAGGCAAAGCTCTCGATTTACTGGTCGCTCTACGTTCCTACCCTCCCCTGTGGTCACGAGCGCTGGGTAGTGACCGAAGGAACGAGATCGTGGACACAAGCGACCGAAATTAGTCTTCTCCGCAGGGTGGCTGGGCTCTTTTTTACAGATAGGGTGAGAAGCTCAGTCATCCAGGAGGGGCTTGGAGTAGGGCCGCTGCTCCTCCACATCGAGAGAAGCCAGTTGAGGTGGCTCAGGCACCTAGCTAGCATGCCTCCTAGACGCCTCCCTGGTAAGGTTTTCTGGACACGCCCAACTGGCAGGAGACCTAAAGGAGGACCCAGGACCCGCTGGAGGGACCGTCTCACGGCTGGACAGGGAACATCTTAGGATTCCCCCGGAGGAGCTGGTCCAAGTGGCAGGGGACCAACCCTGGATAAGCGGAGAAAAATGGATGCACGGCCTACCAGAATAGCTATGGCGTCTACAGGAGACAACGCAAAAGCCAGCTGGTTTGCAGCAGATCTGTCTGAATGAATGTTTTTATGTTGTTTTGCACGAGAACGGAACTTTTCTGTGGAGGATGCCAGTCCAAGTGTCCTGGTGATGACATGACGCCTAAAGCAAAAACATGATGGGAAACTTTTTAAATCCTTTTAGTACTTTAATAGTTTTTGTTTATGTGAGGCGCCTCGTGATTTGTATCTTAAGAGGCATTATATAAAAGATCGTTATCTTTCTTTTTTCTTTCTGTGGCATTTTCCCTTCAAGGCCGTCATCATGGGACACAAATCCTGAAAGGAAAAGTAAACAATCAATTAAACTGCCAGTCTGGCACAGAGCCATCGTGACACCACACACGTTTGTTTAAAAGGATCAGCTGTTGTGCTGGGTCCTTCCCAGCTCACGTTACGTTGAAGGACCTAACATGGCGCTCGTGCAACGTGCACTTTTCCCACTTCTTAGGCTTTATTAGCGGCAACAATACATCAGACTGTGTGGACTTGTTCTGCTGCTCTGTGGGGGTTCCTGTTCAAAGAAAAATGTTTTGCTCCAAGTTCACAAACATATTTTACCTAAACAAGTTGTCCATTATTGTACCTACTTGGCGAACATAATTCAATCTTTCATTATTAGAAATAACACGCCACGCGGAGCTAGAGGGGAAAAACTAATGAGTGTGAAATTACACAGACCAAACACTTTCTCCTCTCTTCAGGTGCTTCAGATGATCAGAAGCTTCTACCTGACAGGTGGTCTTAATAAAGGCTCAGTCATGCTATTGCTGCTCCATTATCCTGCTGCAGGAGTGTTTAAAAAGCTTCTCTTATGGCTGCTCTCTCTTCACTCCAATTAGAGGTGGAGAACACTTCTGCACAATCCCACACCAGAATGCATCTAAATTCAGCAAAAACTTAATATTTCTTAAAAGGCGTCTGATAATTATCCGGACGGCTCCCCAGGCCATTTGTTCATGTTTTCGTATCTGAAATGCTGAATAAGACCTAACAACAAGCTCCATCGGAGGCTAATTATCCTCTCTAACTGCATTTATCTAAAGAAAATAATAATAAACGCATTTTAAGTTTGTCTGAGACATCATAAGAACACAGGGCAATGCCCTAACTTTGATCTCCATTGCATGGCCAGTGATGGGAAATTATTCATGTTCAATATTAAATAGAAACCAGCATCAGATGAGATCATTTAAAATATACCTAAAAGCATAATTTCTAATAAGAAAATGTCACGACTGATAAAAAATGAAGCTACAATCCTAATAGTTGTTTGGTTTGAAAGCGAAGGAACAGACTTTTTGTTAAATTTGACACCCAACAAGTGTCAAATACCAAAATCCAACAAGAAAACATGGTTTTGAGTTCTAGGAGCCTTTAAAGGCTCTTTAGCTCAAGATCATTTAAAGGACACAACATCAGCCTCATAATTAAGGACTAACCATACATTTAGATTTTCTTTTCTTACACTTTGGCCAAAATCAAATTGGAGCATTTTGAAGGACTTCAGGCACCCACAGAACCCCGTTTCTCATCATGCTTTTGTCTTACAGTTACGACTTCATTTTCACCGCGCCCTACAAAGCAAGACTTTTTCCAGCTGGCTGCTTTCCTATTTGTCGCCATCAGACCGAACACGGTGCAGCCCTGAGAGGCAACTGTATATCAGCCAGACAGTCCATCACCACATCACTGCAGGTCCCCCACACTCATGCAGCTCATCTACTTCTCCAGCTCATTACCTTTATTCAGGTGCAGTTTGGTGTGAATGCCCTGGCGAAGGTGTGCAGGAGGCTGCAGCGAGGGGATCTGAAGGCGGTGATAAAGGAACACAAGAGACGAGGAGGCCAACTGGTCTGTGGCTTCTCTCCAATTACGCATCTCCTGTGAGCCGTGGCTCAGAAAAATGGCCCACGGTGTCGCTTAGGCTCTCCTAATTGGCACAGTGCAAAAGAAGAGGGGGGAGTGGGGACCAGGGAGAAGGAATGGCACATTTTCTGAGGTCCCCCATGAAGGCCAGCAGGAGGTAGATGAGAGGCAGCTCTGCAGAGTTTCCTGATGTCTGCGGTTGGATCTCGGTGCAGCATTTCTGAGAATCTACCGCCTCTAGTTTTCCCACTAATGAGGAGCCATCGCTGCCCTTTTGACTTGTTTGTGCTGTCTTCCTCGTCATCATTACCATTTTTATGGCTATTGTGAGCAGTGGCATGCTGCTGCTTGGGGAACATGTGATGCAGGTTTCTCCAGAGGGGACTGAGTTTAATAATTGAACATCCTCACAATTGAACTTAAGTGCCTGCTGCTTTATTTCATCCAAACTCAAGAAAAAAAAGTTTAAAGTGCAAGTTTCTTGCAGTTCCAATGATTATCTGTCAGTAAAAGTGCCCTTTCTACCTCTGATTCTAATTAAATTAAGCCTCGCAGAACATTTCATGACCCCAAACTTGCGGTGCTGTCCAATGTTTACACGGATAAGTCCACGGCTACTTGTTTGCTTTGCATAAGTTTTAATTAAAACTAAAACACAAACACATACAGAAAGAAAAGAACTTAACAGGTAGATCCTCAACAGCTTTCAGACCAGTCATTCAGGCTCACAAACACAAGTCTGGAGTGGTTTATGATCATAATTTGATTCATATAAGAACTTTATGGTTTTATCAGTTTCATTTCATAACCTGTGACTCATTAACTTTAGGGCAATGCGATTTTCAAATGCTCGTAAATGTAGAGACAAGGTGAGAAGTCCCGGTGAACTTCACACCGAGTCACTTTCATTTACTGATGCATCGATAGACATTTTCAAATGGAATACGAGAACTAATAAATGTCATCCTTGCCAATAATTTGAAATTGTTCTATTTTTATAGGAACATTTTCTAGAAAAAAGCTCACTTACACAATCAGAATTAATTCCTCAAGACAGCAGAAGAGTTTCAGGGCACCCATCTGGGTGTTTACAGTTCATTTTAAATTGGCACCAAGCTCAC